TCTCCTTCCCTCTCCTTGCTGTTCTCTATCTGACATACCTTCCCTTTCATTTTTCCCAACTTGTGCTGCTCTATTACTACTGTGGCATCAGTAAACAATCTAATCTTCGGCCTATAGGCTACTGACCCTTCACTGAGTGCAATTATGGCTCTCCTTTTTGTTTGATGTTTCTCTAGCCCAGCCGTGGGCAAACTACGGCCCGTTTGAAATGAATAAAACTAAAAAAAAAAGACCGTACCCTTTTACGTAATGATGTTTACTTTGAATTTATATTAGTTCACACAAACACCCCATCCATGCTTTTGTTCCGGCCCTCCGGTCCAGTTTAAGAACCCATTGTGGCTCTCGAGTCAAAAAGTTTGCCCACCCCTGTCCTAGACTGTTCACTTAGGCTTTTTGTGCCTGGGATTCCTCATCTGAAAAATGACATCCACTTTTCAGGTATGTTGTGAGGATTAGGTGAGACATACATAGCTTGGCATAGAGTCCTCTCACAATCAATACTGACAGTATCCCTCTTCTGCTCTTGGACTTGAGGGCTCTTCGGGATTTTAAAACTGTTTTAGTTGTAGTGACTTCTGTGGAGACTTTTTTGGGAAACCATTAGAAGGCTCCAGGGGCCAGCTTGCTTGTGCCATCATGATGTGAGGTGCCCATGACTGGTGACAGAATGGAATGCTTTGTTGGCCTCACTGGACTCTACTTTTATTGTGCCTTAATTGAAAATTTCCTGCATTAATGCCAAAAAAATCTTTTAGACGTTTGGAGTTAGAAATGGAGTCGGCATATCTTCAAAAGCACCTTGGGAAATGTCTAACTCAAGGTCTTGCAGAAGTGGCAAGACATCGCCCAGTGGATCCGATAGAATATCTAGCATTGTGGATGTATAAGTATAAGGAAAATGTGACCATGGAGGAACTGGTAAGTACAGATCTCCTTTTAGAAATGTAGAAGAGTAAAATAATTGGTCCCATTTGTCTGCTTTCTAAAAAAGTTTGTTGTTCTTGTTTTCTATTATGAAAATAGTGTGTTTATTTCACAAAAACTTGGACAAAATGAAAAAGTAGAAAATTCCCAAAGAAGACCACTACTTATATTTTTAAGTATTTCTTCTAGTTTTTTTCTAAACATTTGTCTGTAGATTATTGTACATAATTATGATCATATTCAATGTATAATTTTAACTCTGTGCTCGTTATTCAAATAAAACTCATATTTTCCCAAATTATTATACAGTTTTCAAGTAAAACACAAACCTTCCCAAATTATTATACAGTTTTCAAATAGACTATACAGTGAGGCCTTGACTTACGAGTTTAATTCGTTCCGAGACCGAGCTCGTTAAGGAGCTCGTTAACTCAAATTACTCTATCAACTCAATGCAAAAAATCTGCGGAGAGACAGCTGGTATCTCAAAAAACTCGTTAGTCGGGACACTCGTAAGTCAAGGCCCCACTGTACTTTACTTAATCCTTTCCCAACTGTTGGTGATTAAGATGCTTTCCAAATTGTTTTTGCAAGTTGTGTTCATTAGTCATGGGATACTGTTTTTAAACAATGCTAGAGACAAAAGGAAATGGCCGACCTGCAGCATGAAAGAGAAGTAGCCCGGCTGGAGCAGGAGCGGCTGGAGAGGCTCAAAGCAGAGGAGCTCATGTTTCAGCAGGTGAGACAAGTGAGAGAGCCAGAGGCCATGGAACTGGCCGTGTCAGCCTCGGCATGGTACAACCCACATGCTGAAAGACTCCGCATCTCTGGTTACTTCCATATGGTTTTCTTATATCTTCATCTCTGTGCATGCGTTGTCTTCGCTGGAGAAGCAGCAGCGAGGCAGGAGGGAACCCAGAGAGCGGGCTCTCACGGAAGCCAAGAGGAGAGGGTCTCAGTGAGCCCTCCGTGCTCAATCACCTGTTGGCTGGTTGAGTGGGACAGGACTGCAAAGTGTTCACTCAAGGCCACTAGTGGGACTGTGGTGGGAGCAGTGTGGGTGGGGTGGGTATAGCAGGGGAGAGGGCGAGGATCAGTAATGCTTTCAAGTAGATTTTCAGGGAAGGACATTTTATTTTTTCCTTTTCTTTTTTAAGGAACATAGTGGAAGGGGAGTGGTTGATAAGAAATAGAGGGGATGATTTCTAGAATCAGCTCTCCATGGAGAAAAAAGGAAATTGAGCCTGGAACATAGGTTAGGCACGTAGAAGGGCACTTCTTTGATCCCTTGATTCAAGGAAAGAGGAGAGGATGGTGTAGGTACATGCGGGTGTATCGGTTTTGTGGCACAACGTTGCAAGCAGTTTCTGTGTGACTTTCTTCTTTATGAAGAAGGAACCATGATCATCTTTCAAGAATGAGGTGGTAAAGAAGGTGTGGGAGAGTGGTGAAGGGTTTGAACTGGTGGCTTTGGAGAGTGGCAGAGAAACTTAGCATTACTTGGTAGCGTCAAGTACCCCGATATAGTTGGAGACCAAGCATTTATAGTTTCCATCTGATTTGACTTTGTGGGTAGGTGATTTTCTGCGTAGGCAGACCCTTTGACTGAAGCAGGTTGGGGTAGCAGGATTGGGGAACTGGAGATGCTGGTAAGAGAATAGTTGGAGGATGGGTTATGGAGTATTACCTAGACAGGGGAAAGTTCCAGAGTGGCTTCTGGACTAATTTAATTTATGGAGAGACTCTCAACTAAACTGAAGTCACCCCTATAGTTCTACCTTATAGTACTTAACTCTAGAGTCTTAACTCAGGTCTACGCATTTAAAAAGGGAAAGAAGTCAGTTATTTGGGTGTGTGGCTAAAAAGTTAAATATAGACATGGAAACTAGCTTTTAAAAAAATCTAATCTACCATTCTTCATAGTGGGTAGAACATTCTAGGCACCTTTGATGGCTATGGCTGCTGAAAATATTACCGTGTGTAAGCCTCCATTTTTCAGTCCTTTGGCTTATTGTTGTGGGGAAGTTGCTAACTGTCGAGTTGGACATCAAACGACCATTCAAGCAGACACGCGTCTGCTGCAGTAGCTCCACGTGGAGTGAGGACCTGCCCTTCCTCTTAGCAGCTCCTATGGCTGCTGTCTGTTCCCCATCTATCAGAATAAGGAGAACCTCTCAGCAGTTCTTCCCCAAGACAAATTACAACACGAATGAGGAGATACTTAACTTTCATGAACTCATCTACTTCAGCTTACCTAGATAAAATTTGTCAGTACTGGAAATCAAACATTTCTCAAGGTGTATTGTGTTGATCAGTATAAAGCAATCTGGGTATAAAGTAATCCGCTGTGTATCAAACCCTAAGCATTGTATTGAGAGTGAAAGATATAATGAAATCTGCAAAAGATTTTATGGTCAAAGAAGTGGATTGGTGGGCAGACACAGATGAAAGGAGAAGGGACACATGGAGAGATGGACCAACAGAGAAAAGCTTAAGAGAGTGAGGCTGAGATGAAGAGAAGCAGGGAGGCCTCTCCATACCCCCTGAATCAAGTGAGCTGGGGTTCATATCTCTGGTCATCTACCTGTTGATTGCAAGAGCAGGTGTTCTCATAGTAATAATACTGATTTGGAATTACTTGAAAAGTTAGGTGTGAACAGGCTAGTATTTGGATTGCTGTTTTCTACTAAAGAACTTATTTTGTAAGTAAAAGCTGTTTTTTGTTTGCTCTGTTTTGTCTGAATATCTTTCTAACAATTTTACTTCCTTTGTGTGAAGAAAGGAATTGGGTTTTGAAAATTTCCTGAGAATGTTCAGACACTGGCTGGTATTTAACAACCGCACTTTGCATTATCATTGAGAGTTTAGTCATTTCATTTCCTCTACCAATGTCTGAATGTTGATTGAATGATATGTTCCTGCATTTCAGCTACTTATCTTAGTGGGGAGAATGTAGGAATGTGAAGACACTACTCTTAACAGCTCTTTGTGAATAGGTATTAATCACTGTTCATTATCTCTGTTTGTTAAAGTGTATTATTTTAAAAATGTAGTTTTAAAATGCTCAATAGGGCTGAGCTTATTAGGTAGCGCTGGATTGATGGTGAGAATTTATTTTCTGGCTTAGAGGTTGACAAACTCTGCAAAGGTAGATACTCTAGAGGCAAAATTGAAGATATTATGGTGTATTACGTAGATATAGCAAGTGAGAAAAAAAATTTCCACAAATGTTTTATTGATGAAATAAATAATAATATTTGAATAGATTTTTTTGTAATATTGTTGTAATGTACCCCGCGAATCACAGAAGGACGCCTCAAGAAGTCGAATTAAAGAGTCACATTTATTGCAATCCGGGACTATGAGGGGACATTCCCAAATCTCATAGTAGTCATTTGGTCACAGTTCAAGGATTATATAGGCAAAAAATCACACAGGTATTGATTACATCTCAGGGTTTGGAATGAGGCACCTGGCTCGCAAAAAAAGCAGATTACAGAAGCAGAATTAAGCATGTTAATTACAGTTTCGGGCCTCGGGGTCACTGAATTGACAGAAATACATTATCTAGAGCCTTTGGGTAACCTGGGTTAAACTTAGGCATGTTATCTAAATTACAGTTCTGGGTCTCTGGATCACTGAGTTGATAGAAACACATTATCTAAAGCCATCGAGGCAATTTAGAGTAATTGCACTGTCCTGGTCTTAGGACCACTGAGTCAACTGGAACGCACCACCTGTGGCCACTAAAACAATTTAGGATAATTGTGCTGTCCTGGTTCCCAGGTACAGAAGAATGCTTTCTAAAACCAGTAAGATAACAATCAATGGGATAGTCATTCAATCGAATGGGATGATTTATACAATTCAGAAAATCAAAGTAACTTTTCTATTGTTAAGCCAAACAGCAGGGTTAGAGTTAAACTACAGTTTCTACCTGATTGGTTGCTACCATACTTCATTATAAGCTTACTACTGAGAATAATTAAATTCTTTTGATAAAGATAACATTTCATTTAGTTGGAGTTCAAAGTTAATGTTTTTTATCATCAAAGTTGATTGAAAATGTTTATCTGTTAGTGCTGATCTGAAATGAGATTTTATGTATTTATCTTTGAAAGTATCTTTTCACACATAGGTCCTGCCAAATATTGATATCAATCCATGTACATATAATTTTGAGCATATTCATCTCTTGGAAGGCATTTGTAGAATTCTCTTGATATTTGCCTTTTAGCATCTCATTGTCTTGTAGATTAATCACTTCCAGTTGAAGGTAAGAGCTTCTCATTACACAGTTAAATGGGTTTTGAAATATGAAAATTTCCTTTTTATTTATATCCTGGCCTAACAACACTCTGGAACTATAGTTCGTGCTTGGAAAATACATCTGCTGCACCTTTGTGTGGGAATGGGGGCCTTGTTTTGTTGGTTTTGTTTTGGGCCGCATATAAAGCAGCTTGCCATTGGGAGTCACACATTAATTGTTAAAATGATTTTTCTGCAATGGAAGTTTTACATATAAGTACCATTTTGCCTTAAAATTTAAGTTGAATTGATTAAAAAACATTATTAAGTCTGCAGCAAAAAGCTAATGGCCAGAGCCATTTAATTTTTGATAATAGTGGTTAAGAATGGTTCTTCTTATTCAGAAAAAGTTTCATCTTGGGACTTTTATAGTAAAAATTTATAGTAAAGCATTCCCACTGTTAATCCAGGAAACTGGTGTGGTAGGGCGAGTCAAGATTTATTCAGCTCCTGTTTCTGACAAAAATTCACAGGATTGATGATGATGTTCATAAGAGTGAATGTAGGACACTGTTGACATTACTGGCTCAATATGCATGATAGATTCAAGTATTTTTTACATAGTAGCTGAATACAATGAATTCTCACAGGCTTTAAACACTATTTTCACAAGCTTTGTAAATTTGTCCAACTGAGCCTTTTTCTGTTCCATGGTTCCACACATATTTTTATCATCATTTATTGTAACACATCTTAGCAGATTTCACTTCTGGTTGTACTGAATTAATGTTTCTCAACTTCTATGAAAAAAATTATTGCTTGTAGTTGTCCCATGAAAACTATTCACAGCGGCTGATTTTCCAGTCTCTTTAAACTCAGCACTGACTCCTTGGATAAGCAACAACTGAGCAGCGTTGGGAACATTTGTTTACTCATCAAGAGCTAAGGACAACCACTCAGAATCATTGTGTTTAATTGACTACTGATGCTGCTCCCAATGTCACCAGCCCTGTGAGCAACTGTTCTCGCCCAAAGGCTAAAAATGTTAAGTAAGCTTGTTTTTCCAGACACTGAAATCAAGCATGTTTTAATTAAATATCGCTTGGAAAATATGTTTCTTTACCTGACTAACAAATGAGCCACTTAGAAACTTACTTTTATTGTAGCCTCATTTTCATTTTTAATTTTGTAAAGAAATTCTGTTGTGATGAAATACTTGTCTTAACTTTTAAAATATTTCTGACCTTTGCTCTTGTGTGAGTTGATAATATTGTGATGAGTGCTTAACCTGGTAATATTGATACTTACTGTATTCTTTTAGTATAATGTCCACGGCTTAAAAACACCATCCATCCCCTAGCTGATTTGGTTCAGTGAATAGAGCATCAGCCTGCAGACTGGAGAGTCCCGGGTTTGATTCCAGTCAAGGGTTAGGGGCTCGCTCTCCAGTGTGGTGCGTGCAGGAGGCAGGAGATCAATGATTCTCTCTCATCATTGATGTTTCTATCTTTCTCTCTCCCTCTCCCTTCTCAAAAATCAATAAAAATATACTTAAAAAACAACAAAACAAAAACAACATGATCCTTTGTCATTTAATTTGATCATTAAATAACCCATTCTCTACTGTGTCTTAAAAGGACAACATTCAAAATTCACTTCTTGTCTTTACATGATGGATATACACTGATTAAAAATAAATGTCGCAGTGAGACCATGGCCCTGCAAAACTGTTGAGGTATAATCAAGAGACTGTGAGCTGTAGTGTGCTGAGCAGCGATGCAAAGTGATGAGAGCGCCACCTATAGTCTCCGTTGCTCAACTGTGCTGTTGTAGTGCAAAGCCAGTAGTCAAGGGAGTGACCATGACAGTGTCTCAATCACACTTCATTTATAGACACTAAAATTGGAATTTCACATGATTTTTACTATTTTTATTTTTATTTGATATTTTTCAACCATTGAAAAATATACAAACCATTCTTAGCTTTAGGGCTGTGCAAACACAGGAGTTGGGTCAGATTTGGCCCACACAATTTAGTTTGCTGACCCTATGCTAATGTGGCATATATGTTGAGTTGGAACCAAATATATTGTTGGTTATCAGTGGTTTCAGATAGTATACTTAGGAGTTTCTCATCCACCTCTGCAACCAAGCTTTGGTTGTTTGAAGACCCATCCAGCTATGCTTAACAAGATTTTATCTGAAAAAATTCCTGCAATCTCATTTGTTGCTTCAAGAAGAACAGAGAAAATGACTTGGTTTTGTACATATTGTGTTTCTCTAAATTAGCAGTTAAGGAAGATTCCTTTTTATTTTATATTTCAGGAAATATTTGTAAAAGCCAAAGTATTAACAGTGGCTGTGATCATTTATTTTTGTAAGTTTTTGAAATTTAGGTGGGTGTAAACTTAATTATCCTGGGACATTTCAGAGTGATAGAGTTAATCCCCTGCAATTGATCTGACTCTAACATAACTTACTTTTTTTCTTTCTGAATATTCAGCAACAGCTGGCCTTACAGCTGGAGTTAGAAATGCAAGAGAAAGAAAGGCAGAGAATAGAACAACAGAGAGCTCAAGAACAATTAGAGAAGGTAATTTGAAGTTTTATAATTGTCTGTTTTATTTAAAATCTCTTAGAATCCTCAAGCTGTTCTTTCTCGATGCTGTATCATGGGATTCATTGTCTAAAGACCTGCCACACAGCTGTGTGACTTAAGCAAATCTTAGAACCCTCTTCATCTCAGTTTACCTTTTGGAAAAATAGAGATAACAGTATATTATTTTTAGCAATATCTTACTGGATCATTTTAAGATCAAATAAGATTGTGTGTGCAAAACTGCTTTGTGAGCTGTTTTATAATAGTGATATTAATAATATTGTAATAGTGATATAAGAGTTGGTTGTTTCTAATTATAGTGGTTGATGTTGAAGGTCAAGCTCTTTGTAATATCAAGAATATACTGATCTCTGACATAGTAATGCATCTCTTTTCTTTATGTTAGATGTATTATCAATAATAATTTACATTTAAATGTTATTACTATGGATTTTTTCATGTCTTTTAGTAAATAAACTATGCAGTAGCTTACATAAAAAAGTTCATCTCTGGTTACTGTATTCGTATAAAATGTTAAGCCTCTAGTTTGGCCAGTGTTCTCTGGTATCCCCAAAGTATGCGTTATAGAGACTAAACTTCTGAGGGACCGAATTACACTTTTTAACTGGATATTTCATATTGTATGCGTATAGCTCATATCTGTTATGTAAATGTTACTCTTCTATTCCATAATAATAATAATAATAAAACAGAAGCAGGTTTTATGGAATATCTATATTAGCAGCTTAGATGAGAGCATCATTACTTAAAACAAGTTTTAAAAAGTTGGACGATGAATTGAATATAAAAAAGATGAGTTTTAAAAAGGGTAAATCAAAGCCTTATACATAATTTTAAAATATATAAATGCTGATGCTTAGTCTGAGTATAATAGGGCACACTGATATGCATGCACACATACACATATGTCCCAGACTGGGCCATGGATCAAACCTACAACCCAAGTATGTGACCTTGACCAAGAATTGAGCCTGCACTCTAACCACTTAACAACACTGGCCAGGGCTTAACTTTTATTTTAGTTAAATGCACTTTTTTAAATTCATGTTTTGTGGGTTTTGTCTTTTAATATATTAATGAAACATTATCAATTCTTACCCCCAGGGGGAGTGTCGTGTCCGGGAGGCAGCTGATGGATGTTTCTCTCTCATCGATGTTTCTGACTCTCTATCCCTCTTCCTTCCTCTCTGTAAAAAAATCAATAAAAATATTTAAAAAAGAACAAGAGAAAACACCAGAACAGGATGTAAATGAAATAGACAAGCAATCTACAAGATGCAGAGTTCAAACACTTTATTGAACTTAGGAGAAGAATAAATAAACTCAGTGAGAACTTCAACAAAGAGGTGGAAAGCAGAAAATAAGAGGAAAAGCATAAAAAAGAACCAGTTAGAACTAAATAATACAACTGAAATACAGAATATATTAGAGGAAATCAACAAAGATTAGATGACACAAAAAATTTGAATCAATAATCTGGAAGAAAAAAATTTAAATGAGGATAGTTTAAGGGGCCTCTGGACAACATCAAGCATAACAGCATTTGTATTGTAGGAACCAGAAGCAGGAGAGAGAGAGCAAGGGATTGAAAACCCATTTGAAAAAAATAAGGACTAAAAACTTTCCTAACTTGGCAAAGGGAATAGACATATAAGTCCAGGAAGCACAGAGTCCCAAACAAGATGAACCCAAAGAGGTCCACACCAGGACACATTATAATGAAAATGCCAAAGGTTTAAGACAAAGAGAGAATCTTAAAAGCAGCAAGAGAAAAGCAGTTAGTTACCTATAAGGCAGTTAGTTGCCATAAGATGGTCAGCTGATTTCTCAACAGAAACTTTGTAGGCCGGAAGGGATTGGCAGGAAATACTCAAAGTGATGAAAAGCAAGGACCTAAACCAGTGATGGCGAACCTTTTGAGCCTGGCGTGTCAGCATTTTGAAAAACCCTAACTTAACTCTGGTGCCTTGTCACATATAGAAATTTTTTGATATTTGCAACCATAGTAAAACAAAGATTCACATTTTTGATATTTATTTTATATATTTAAATGCCATTTAACAAAGAAAAATCAACCAAAAAAACGAGTTCGCGTGTCACCGGTTCGCCATCACCGACCTAAACCAAGGTTACTCTCCTCAGCAGGGCTGTCATTTACTAGTACAGTTACATTGAATAATAAAAACAATTCTAGTTCATAACTTGTACATTGATGATGTTGCTGAAATGATATCTTAAGTGCTAAATATGAACCTATTGCTTAACTTATCTCCACCATTGCTAATAATTTTGGCCTTTTAATTTGATGATTAAATACTTTTTTCAGCCTGGCCAACATGGCTCAGGGGTTGAGTGTCAAATCTATGAACCAGGAGGTCATGGTTCCATTCCCTGTCAGGGCACATGTCTGGGTTGCAGCATTTCCAGTAGGAGGTGTGCAGGAGGTCGCCAATAAATGATTCTCTCTCATCATCGATGTTTCTCTCTCTCTCTCTCTCTCTCTCTCTCTCTCTCTCTCCTTTCTTCTCTGAAATCAATAAAATCTATATTTTTAAAAAAACAATTAAAAAAAACACTTTTTTCCCCCAAGGAGCCCAGAGAAGGGCTTTTGAATCAGAGGACTCTGAAGTATAAGTTAGTGCGAGAGAAGTTATCAGGTGGGAGGTATGCAGTGAAACTAAGCTAATGGTGGTTGGCAGGTGCAATTTTGTAAGTCCCAGAAATGCTCCCCTCCTCCAAGATGTGTCCCATGTGGCCACACTAGCTGGAGTGGCATCAGCTAGATTTTCATTTGAATTAACACTGGCCAGTGTGGCTTAGTTGCTTGGGCATCGCCCAGTGCACTGAAAGGCTGCTGGTTCGATTCCCAGTCAGGGCACATTCATGGGTTGCGGACTTGATCCCTGGTAGAGTGTATTCAGGAGGCAGCCGATCGATGTTCTTCTCATATCAATGTTTTTCTCTCTCTCCCTCTTACATCCTCTCTAAAAATCAATAAAAAATCTTTAAAAACACACAAAAGAAGTAAAAAAAGAATATCAAGAAGACAGTGATCAAAATGATCAGAGAATTGAAAGTATTTTTATCAAGATGCTATTGTTAAGCAATGGTCATTTGCAGCAATTCAATACCAACAAGAATCCCCAATTTGGATTGCAGTGAAGAAGGGAAGTGTATTCAGTGCAAAACAGCTCAATTGTGATTCCGCACGGATGTGAAAACAGCACAGCTCTAGAGCAGGTGTGGGGCCAGCCCCTCTTCAGCTAGACAGCTGTGCATCGTCTGCCTCACTCTGCTCTGGCTTACACCTTTCAGTGTTTCTGCTCAGCCACAGAGGTGCATGGGTGGAAAGGCTTTCCCAGACAGAGGGGAGCTGGCTTATTCAGACAGAAGTCCCCGCCCCTGGTCCCTGATTGGACCGTCCTTGTGCAAATGAGGACTCTAAACCCTCATAGTTTGATTGGTCCAAAAGGCACTGTCCTGATTGGTTAGACTAAAGTTTCTCTGATTGGTTGGGACTACACTGCTCCATGGCATAGGGAAAGCCTTAGTCCTATTGGTTGAAATAAAATTCCAGGAAACTCTTATAAGGGCTGGCTCCGATGGCAGGAACACAGTGCAGG